GAGGTTGTAGAGTGGACTGATCAAAGACCTTTTGGTTCCAGATCTACGTTCTCTTTCTCAGGGCAAAGGGCTTAGCCTAAGGAAACAAAGATACAAGAGAATGCAGTTTTAGTGGGAAATGAAAAACATTGCTTTCTTATTTTCAAAATAATGTCCCATTACACATGCAAATATCAATTTATAAGGTGGAAGTGGGTAAGCAATTCTGATTTTCAACAGATTACTTAAAATGTTTTAGGCTCAGATGCACATATTGCTCATAATTATACAACTTGCCCATGAGGAATTCTGTTCTATGATGTTTGTTTGTTTTTCTCAAGTCACAAGCATTTCTCAGAATTCTCTACTGAGTTTGTAATCTTCTTGCTGATCTGTTTGAGTCACTGTCTGACAAACTAGGTATGCGTAGTGTTTGGGTGAAGTTGTTTTGATATTCAAGGTCCCTTTGAAGCAGAAGAGCGTATACTTCAGGCTGGAGATGCACCAGCACCTTACCTTCTCTAAACGCTGAGTTCCCAGCAGGCTCTAAAAACCAACCTTCTCACTCCCCTTCCTCTGAATTCAACTGGAAGTTTTCCATTCCCCATTCAAGTAACAAGTACCTATCTACTGTTGTCTCACTAGGAAGTAGATTCACTCTTCTCAGTGTTTTTAGGTCTTTGGAGGTGTGGATCCCCTGTGAAAACCTGATAAAAATCAGTAACCCTCACCCTAGAAAAATGTGCGTGCATACCAAAGTTTGTGAGCAATATCAGGGGTCTACAGAGGCCCATCCACAGACCCCTATTTAGCATTTATTGTCTCAGCTGTAGTGGAGATTGACACTAAAATCAGTTCATGGGGGGGGGAAATGTGTGAGTTTATAACAAGGCAGGGATTAATTAACACTTTGCAGACTTAAAACACATTCCTCTTTTCCTCTGGAGGTGTTAAGTATTTGCTAATCTGCTTGATAAATATTATATGGCCAAATATCACTAAGTTATTTTTGAAGCTCTGGTGGCTTTTGATAAAGATGCTTCCAATTAATGCTCATGGTATCTCATCTCCTGGGCATCAGATCTGTGTGCACATGATTTGAGTCTACTGTGGACTCTAGAACCATCATTTATCATTAACGCTATTCTTGCCACTCAAATACGAGGGTACTTTAAAAAGTTCATGGAAATATTTGTAGTATCTATCAATCATATTTTTTCATGAACTTTTTGAAGTACTTTGTAAAACTTGAGATATGTCTTGATAATCTTTAGAATTCCGTGCTTTAAGATTTGCTCAGGCATCACCTATTATAATTTCCCCTCCTTACAACATCCACCTCAACCAACCATGTGAGGGCCCCTCCTCTGAGTCTCATCAAACCCTCATGTGTATATTTGTTCCCCAGCATGTTACAATGTTCCTCTCTGCACCACACTGTGAACTCCACTACAGCAGAAGAGGTATCACTCTCACCTTTGAACCCCCATGGCCAGCACAGGGCTCAGCACATAGTAGGTACTCGATACATGTTTGCTGAATGTGGACTGAATCACAATGAATTAATTCCTCACAAGTTCTCATGTGATAAATAAATAGACATGAAACTTGGACTGATGGTGTTAAGCAGGCTTCAGCTTTTGGATGAACTACATTAGCCTTGTAAAATAGTGCTTCACAGTCTGTATGTCCAAGGAATAATTAGGCCAAAGCTAAAGAAAAGCAAAGCAGAGTTAAAATGAATTGACACTTCAAGGCGTTAAATCTATTGAGTAGCAATAGTCAAGGAAGGTCACCAGGTCTGAGTTTGTAGCCAATTGTTGACTTCCTGGCTAATTTAGTACATACCACAACAAAAGCAGAAAAACATTTGATAGATAAAGCTCCTCTCCTTCCTTAGGCTGATGTTTAACCCTCTGCAGTCTGACCCAGGTCTGTTTCGTCCATACTCTCAAGTTTCCCACTCTCTCTACTTCTAGACCTTATTCCTCTAACTATGCCGAGTAGTTTC